TGATTAGTTCCAGGGTTAGAGTTGTGATTTCGTGAGTTGTTTTTTTTTGTCTTTATTTTAGGCCTGTGTAAGACGGTGTTGCGTATCTGCTCGTTTGTTAATTTCCGGTATAAATTCTTTCCGAGGTACTTCAACGATACAAGTTCTTTCTTAATTAAAACTAGTTTATTCTTTCTTGATACAACTTTGTAATACACAGAATTTCCACAGTCACTTTAAATTGAACTACTTTTATAAACACGCGCTATAAATCACAGTGATTCACACACTTTACTCTGCTTGACTCAATTATCTTTCTATATATCTATCTATGCAATTCTCTCTCCGCTTTATTTGGCGGGCTCATATACTAAAAAAGAGGGCGCCTGGAACAGACTAGATTTGCTAGGAAAAGTCATGATCTTCCTAGAATTTCATCACGTGTTACCAGCGTCACGTGACTTCCGCTGTCGTAACAGCGGTAATTAATTCTTTATGTTATTGTCATTAAACGGGCAATGAGTCACAAAACAAATAATCAAAACATTTTAGAGGTGGGGCGCCAAAAGTGTCTTTGCCAAAGGGTGCTGAGAACCCTTGTTACGCCACTGCATCTACCACATCTGTTAGCAAACCGTTCCCAAGGCCAACTACCCTGTTACAAATATAAAGCTGTCTTAGCTAAAGATGACTCCTGCTATGCCACAATTTATATTTTTGTCCCATAGTCTTACCATTCTCACCTTAAATACAAAAAGATACATCAAACTATCATTTCCCTTTACAATCTTAAACACTTCAATCAGATCCTTCCGAAATCTTATTTTTTCAAGAGAAAACAATTTCATAGACCTTAAGCTAACGTCGCATGACAACAGTTTCATCTCAGGTATCATCCTGGTAGCTTTCTTGGAACTCTTTTTTTTTTTTGTAGGAAAACACTGCCTTACTAATCTTTTTTGACATTCTTTGAAAAGGTTACTGCTTATGTATATAAAGGTACAGGGTGGATCTAGATTTTCATAAATAACTTGACAATGTGTTACATAAAATGTTTGTTAAAAGGTATCTCTGTAGGTGTGGAGGATAGGTTGGTTAAATGGATAGAACACTGGCTGGCTGAAAGAAAGTAAGGGCTCTTATAAATGGAGTTCAGTCAATCTGGATTAATGTTGCAAGTGGGGTACCTCAGAGCTTAGTATTAGGACCTTTGATTTAATTTATATTTGCATCAATGACATAGATGAGGAAATGGTCAATAAATTATTTAAATTTGCTGATGACATTAAAGATTTTGGTATTGCTAGCTGTGAGAAGGATACTGCTGGTTTACAAAAGGATTTGGATTATTTGGTAAGTTGAGTGAATAATTGGCAGATGGATTTTTATCATAATAAATACCAAATAATGCATATGGAATACCATATGAATGGAAGTATGAGTATAATTTACTGGAGAATACCCTTAACAGTGTTATGGAAGAAAACGATTTTGATGTTCTATGGATTTGATATGTCTAGATTTTTATACCTTTTCTAATCAGGTAAGAGCTGCAGAATAATTGAAGGCTCTAAATAAAACGTTTTATGGAGAAAAATATGAATTATTTAACCTCGATTGAGTTTGAAACAAACAAACAAACAAAAAACAGACCGGACACAAGTTTAAGCATAGAGAAATAATCTGTGTTTCAAACAAATAATAATCTAAATATAAAGGTAATTGTATTGAATGACACTTTTACTGGAAAGTTAGGAAATCGGATATATTTAAATCAAATCAACCATTCACTTTCTATCCTGTCAAAGACTGGAAAAACGTGGCATTATGTACGAAAAACAACAATGCCATTCTTCTCAGTACTTATGCACTACTTAAGTGACTGAAAGTCACTATCATTTTAAAATAAGTAATATTGTGTTCCTGAAACATCAGCTGATTTGCCAGTGAAAAATATCGTTGTATTTTTCTATACAGTATGATCAACGTCACAGCAATCTTTCTGACAAGAAAATACATTTCACAACTTAACTGACTGACTTAGTTCCGTGAGTAACTATGACGAAATGAATTTAATGGTTTCTTGACCGACTTTTTGTATTAAGTATAAATGTCCAACAATATGTGAGAAGATGTTTTTAAATTATGCATCAAATTATGGGGTGGGAAATGCATAGTGGTTGTGTTGCGTCAGCGAGGTCACGTGACTAGTATCACGCCACCTCCTTCTAGAAATATCCTGTTCCTTCGTGAATTGTCGGGAGACTACTAGATTGGGGGTAGTCTGGTATATATAAGACGGTCACAACGTGACGGAACAATAAGTTATTGAACTGCAGTCAGAGAGTGTGTAATTGAACTGAATATTGTTGAAGTCCAGCACGTGAGACGTTCGTTGAGAATTATAGCGCGACTGTTGAAATTAAGTGTATCGTAAAGTTGTACTCGGAAAGAATAAACCAGTTTTATTTAAGAAAGGACTTGTGTCGCTAAAGTTTCGTCGGAACGAATTTAACGGAAAATTAACTAACGAACGGAGACGTAACAGTTGCATATTGAATATTCAATCCTGTTATTCGTCTTAAAGAGCCAGATATATCCCTCTTTGCGGCGGGTTTGTTTGTAGTTTAAGCACAAAGCTACACAATAGGCTATCTGTGCTTTGCCTACCACGGGTATCGAAACCCGGTTTCTGGCGTTATAAGTCCGCAGACGTACCGCTATGCCATTATGGGGTTGGTGGTGGTGGCGGGAGTTGTTGGCCAGTATCTCAAAATTAGTAACGCCTATACCTGAATCTTAAGATTCTATGAACCGGAAATATAGCCTACGTATGCACGAGTTGTTGTTTCGGTTGAAAATTCAACTTTCAAAATAAATATAAGCATATAAAAAAAAGGAACTAAGAACATTTAGAGGCTTATTTTCAGAGAAAATTATTTTAAACAATTGTCCTGGTTGATGATGTTGAGATGATGGAATATTCAAGTATACACTATACAGTATACTATTATAAACTAGAAGTATATAGTTTTCTTGGGAGATTTCCCAGTTTTACGCTTTTGACAACTTATTATACATTTGTTGTTTTTTTCATCTGTCATGGTGGAAAGGGAGATGTTTTTCATCAGTCTCTAACAAACTTACATTTGTCTCTCTCTCTCTTCATAATTATTTATTATAATAAGCTTTAACCAGAACAACGTTTGGGTTTGAGAGTGCATTAAGCGTTCTACGTCAGCATATTCGGATAACAAATACTGAAATACTGAAACTTGTGGAAGTTAATCCCAAATACTATTACTATTTGCGTTTGTAATGTGCAATAATGAATAAGTACATTCTCACTCTGTATATTGTTTTCGTCCAAGAGAAGTAAATTAAAAGAAGTTCTAAAGTTGTAGTAAGTGTAACACGTCATAAAGCTATAAAAATTAAACTTTAATTTTAAAATATAGACGCATTTTGCTATACACTGCAGTTTATATATCCACAATTCAGTGTATTGTTACAACGTACACTTGTATTGTTATTGTATAAAAATATTGAACTTGAAAAATAAGTAAACTATGTATAACATAAATAATCCTCGAATTTCGATATTTTGTTTTTGATGCGTTGATAGTTTTTATTCATAAACATTTATTAATGAATAGCAGAATACTAAGTAAAGTAGGGTAGGTTAATGTTTAGTATTACTAGTAATAGTATTATACTCAGTAATACTAATAGTAATAAAGTAATTAATAATAGTAATACTAGCAATAGTATGACACTACGAGTATGAGTTATTAAACTTACTGTAGTGTAGACTGTGTAGTGTAACACCGGATCCAGTCCTATTTATACTGAGTATTACTACCACTGGTACTACTGTGGACTGAGTAGTGTAACACTAACTTTGTAACCAGATTTCTTGGCTAGTTAATTTTATAAATCATTAAAATTAAATGTAACAACACAGACTAACAGTAAAGTAAGATAATATAATATTCGGCTGAAGTTTAATTTGGGTTTTAACTTTTAGAGCTGAATTAATCATTAATTTTGTGGAATTCTATCCCAATTTTCATCAATAATTCATTCAACTTAATACAAGAGCAAGTTGAAACTTGAAGAACAAGACTAGGCCTCTTACAAGTTACAGTGGTGACTTGTAATTCATGTGTATGTTGTGGAGGTGAATCTTGACTCACCATAAAGTGTACAATTAACCTATATTGATAGAAAAAAATGGTTGAAATTATGATTAACATTACTCATTTATTTGCCATTATTCCTCAGTAAAAAAGCTGTATAAGATAGTGTATATCTAAGTAATTGAAGTGAAACTTGTCGTGAAAATGAAACATGAGGTCCAACCTGTTCTTGGGTTCATTACTTTAAGGTTAAGTTTCTGTTTTAGGATTTTGTCAAACTTCTTGTTATCATTGATTAGCACTTTTGGAGTATATATAACATTTTTGAGGAGTAAAGTCTAAATGTGGCCAATAGTTTTATTTATCACTTCATAAAGTTAAATTACTAGCAGTTTAATCTGCATTTCTGTTGTTTATTTTCAAAACCTTTGCAGTTGTAGAGATAGCTTGTGTTATTTTAATACATGAATATAATTAAAATTTTATGTACTAGGTGTTATCTTCATCTGCTTACTGCTTTTGATCTTCTTGCAGCTTTAAAAATTATGGACAGAAGATCTAGGGGAAGAGGACGAGGCAGAGGCCAGAAAAGAGAAACTTTGAGTCAGCAGCTAACTGGAGAGCAGAGTAAACGTACTTCAGTATGGAATCAAAATGGAGATTGTGCCAGAAAACCATTAAATCCAGTTTCAGGAGGAATGAAGAACTCTGAAAAAAGTGTGTAGTAGTCTCATTATAGATGAGTTATTTTTGCTTATAAAGTTGAATTAATTTTCTCTCAGATTAGTTATAAAAATATAAATTATTTGAATATTTTCACCATTTAATAAAGTGATTGTATTAAACAGTTTTCAAAATTGTGTACTTATTAGAGTCAAAATAGCTTATTGCAATATTTGAAAAGAAAATATCTGTTCTTAATACTGTATGTATTTGAAAACATTTTTTTATTACTATTATGATTACTTCTATTCCATGTGCATAATGATTGTGATAGTTAGGTGTAGGAAAAAAAAAGCTAAGGATCATATAATAATTGATAAATTATATGATAGCATTGATAGCAAAATTGAGAGTTTATGTTCTACTTATTGATGTGACCTCAAAAATTTTGCAAAAATAGCATATTTTGGTAATCATATTTAATGAATTATGAGAAAAAAATTGTGTTCTACTGAATCCAAAATAACAAGTCCTCTGAGCTAGTTCTATGCTTGCTGAATTATTGAAGTTCAAATCCACCAACAATATTAGCAATCATACTGATTTTCAGAAACTTATTTTGTCATCTAATAGTTTTTAAACTTGAAAGCTGGTTTTGAATTTAAGATTTCATAAGATAAAAACATATAAATTCTAGTATTTTAAACACAATATCTTAGAAATGTTGTTTCTCATCCTACTCGTAGTTGTGTAACCTTTTGTACATTTCAGGGAACAGAGCTAGACAGAGTTTACATTTGTCTGAAAACAGTGTGCAGTCAGATTTGTTAAAAACCTAGATATATTATTATTTTATTTTTTATGAAAGTTCCTTTTGAATTCAAATGTTTTATACTATGGGTGAAAGTATATGTATTGTTCAGTTTACTGGTTTTGTTTAGGTGGTAGATGTTATAGTGCAGCTCTCAGTATTATTGTTAAAAAACGATAATTTATTTTCTCTTTGTAAGTAATACACTAGTTATGCCTTTGTAATTCACCCGCTTCTACTATAACTAATTTGAAACAGCTTTGAAGGGTTATATTTGATGCAAAATTTTAATGCCTTATGTTATGGTCACATGATATCTGTAAAATTTCATGTACTTAAAAGTTGTGTTAGTTAGTAATTTGTACCTAGTTTTAAAATATGAATAGTTATTAACTAATAGTTAAACTTAGGTGATCACACATACTACTAACCATGATGATGAATGTAGTATTGCATTTTCATTCATCATTACTAAATCATCTCTGGATACTGATGCATTGTTGCATCATATTAAAAATGTGATGCATGCATGTTGAGAAAAAAATCTTTAAGTATAAATATCTTTTTAGGTAAAATATAAATAATTTTAACACATATTTAAACATGTATCTTGTATAGCTCATTTAGTTACAAACCTAAATTTTTGTTACATGTTTGCTGGTTAAATATCACTGAACAATTGATTTTGCAAGTGTTTTATCTGAAATTATTTTTTTTAATGAAAATCTAATTCAAAATAAAAAATATAATAAAAACACTGGCAACAGTAACAAATGTATAAATATGTATATCACATGTTTTTTTTTACATTCACTCATAAATGTTAGAACTACTAACATAATTATTTTCCTGTTTATGTTGTAATTGCTTGACTCACTCTGGAAACAAGAGGATTAGCTTGCTGCATAGCCAGTTATTCTGAATGATAGTAAATTTAATTCAAATAATAATAATTAATTTGTGTTAGAAGTAAAGTAATTAATATTGGGTGATTAATCATTATCCCAAAATATATGATTTTGAAATAATATTACAGATGCTAGTCTGTGTATTTATGTAGGTAAAGAACCAGGCACAAATAAAAAGTTTGAAGAAGCTTGTGCTAAAATTCAAGAATCCTTGCAGAGATTTGTACAAACACAGGAATTAGAAGAATCATCAGAAGAAGATGAACTGGAAAGTGATGGGATTTTGAATAAAGTTTTGAGTTCCTACGAAGGTGAGATATCAACAACAGATAATTAAGAGTATAACTCTGAATATTTATAAAACTTGATATGAACTTCTTTATTTTTTGTTAGTTATATTGATACTGTACAGTCAATAAACAACCAGTGGTACTGTAAATAAGTAAGAACATTTTGTCACTGGGTTGTATAACAGAAAAAGAGCTCACAGCTAATTCCTGAATTAAATGTATTTAGAGCTTATAAAGAAATGCGTTAAACCCTTTCTTTCCATTATTCATTCACTACACAGGAAACTTGCAATTAGATTTATCTAAAAACACACACAACATAACATTTGAAGGACAAAAAGGGGTTTCTTGGCCCATCATGGCTGTCCCATTTATATCATCAAACATCACCATCAAAGTACTCATCAAGTTTTCTAAAACTCTTCTAACCCTGTTGCATTTACTACATCTAAATGCAATCTATTTCAAACACTGACAACCCTGTTTGGAAAATAAAATTGGTTAATTTGCAGATGACTTTTACCCTGACAGATTTTAAATCTATATCCCTTAGTTGTGAGTTATTTTTTTTAAATATCTTTATATTCGTACACTTCATATTCCCCTTTTACTATTCTTTCTCAGTTTGGTTATTAGGAATGGGAAGCTTCTACATGTCTTTTTTCTCTAACCCATCATTAGTTTTCTGCCCTGCACTCCAGTTTGTCTTGTTTTGCAACATTCTTTTTTTACAGTATTATGAACTAAACTCATCCTCCTGATTATTTTTAATCAGGATCATATATCTACTTTGATGTCTTCATTACCTACAGGTCTCACTGATATTGTTTCTGTTACCATGTGACTTGTATGTTCTTTTGACACTTTCAGTGTGTTGCAGGGTAGGTATATGTAGAACACCTGCTTCAGTTTTTATTTGTAGGTATTTCACTTTAACTTGCTTCCCATTCAGGAGAAGTTTGTCCACAGGAGTTGATTAGGGTTTTAGCATCTTGTTTTGCTTCTGTTTGTCATTCTCTTCATTGCTCGTTACATCTGTTTATACTTTTTGCATGGCCTTGCATCGATGTGAGCAGAGTGGGTTGTTATGGCCCACACATTGACTTTATTCTGGATAACTCTTCTGTCTGGACTTTTGGGGGTCATCTCAGATTTTTGTTCACCTGAGGTCCCTTGGCTTTGCATTCCTTGGGTTTGTCAGATACTTCAATTCAATTTTATATTCATCATCCTCTTCCAGTTTTGACTCTTCCAATTTTTATTTGTTTTTGGATCTGTGAGTTTTGAATCTTTGCTACAACAAGGAGATATCAGTGTTTTACTTCATTTTTTCCTGGTGTTTTTACTCTCATCTCTTTTGTGGTGCTAAAGAGGAGATTGGTATCAGATCTTTCTTATCTCATTTGTTATGTAGATATTCCTTTTTCAGGTAGAGCCTAATAGAACCTTATGAAAGTTCCTATATCAAGGTTTTTGGATGATAACTGGTAATTTCAAGGTATTTTTTTACATATCCTGATTCACCCTTTATCTCATAATTATCTTCATTTATCACATTGGGGAGTGTTTTATCAGTTTATGACTCTACCTTTTTTGGTCTGGCTTTGGCACCTTATATCTTCAAGTATTTAGTCAAACCATTAACCAGTTTCTAGTTCTCGGTCCAATATTTCTGCCAGTGGATGCTTTGACCCTGCCTTGGGAGAATTTTTTTCTCTGTACCTACTCTCTTCTTCTTCATCTTTCTCAGGTATTGGTGTGATAATTTGGTTCCATTGTCCATTTATCCTTACTGCTTCATGCTGGCCTGGTTCACCATAGTTTCCACTTACTGCTTCATGCTGGCCTGGTTCACCATAGTTTCCACTTACTGCTTCATGCTGGCCTGGTTCACCATAGTTTCCACTACTCTCTATCCTATTCCATTACTTTCTTGTTACATCTTCCATAATGGCATTTGTTGTTTGCATCTTCATGACTGGTTGTTATGCAGTCCTTTACTAGTGAAGCTGGCTTCTTTTCTCAAGTAGCTTGAATGTTGTCATACTTTTGCAGCTGTTCCTCCCTGGCAGTATACTAATCTTGTTGGTTTATAATTGCGGAACTTAATTTCATGTCTTTCTGCCACTTGTCAATAGCTTGACTCATTTTTTTTTTCAAGTGGCTCTTTCTTTTCCAGTTCTTGTCTGCTTCTGTTGCAGGTTACAGAGTTGCCACAGAAATCCTGTGCCTCTGTCTGCCCAATTTTTTAAGTTTTTTTTCTTTTGAGTTTTTTTTTTTTGATAATATCTTCCACAAGTACCTAAACCCTCAGTGGGATCTAAGTCTGGTCTTAAATTGCCTGGCTTCACCTTTTGAACTCTTCTCAAGTTGTTCACTGTATCATCTTTCCCTTTCCCTCAAAACTTATTTTCATTTGTTACTCACTTCTGGGAGGCAGTCAGACATTTTTGCCATTGATATTTCTCTAACTCTTCTTTTTCTTAGAAGGGCTTCATATTTATATCATGATAGAGCCTTCATATCAGAGACTTTGACTGCAAGAGATGGTCGCTGCTGTTTTTCTCCTATTGTGTTACGTACTCTGTCTGACCCAGATTCTTTTTCTGATGAACGATTGCTGTCTTATGAGGGCTGTTTGCTCGTACATTGCAAGAACATAATTTTTTCAAAAGAATTAACATTGGTTGTTTATACCATAGATAATTCTTGCTCCATAGATCTTGCTCTATTTACATTACCAAATTGGGTATTGCAGCTGGGCCATCTTGTTTATCATGATGTTTCTGACCATCTTGAGCAAGAACTTAAAGTTACATCTCATCATTGCCATTTTTTTAATATCTTTCATCACATACAGTGTTCAAAATAAGCATTTTCTGGTTGTCTGAAACAATAAAATTATCACTGGAAACTTGAATGCACTAAAATGGCCCGATCCCATGGCAATCCAGGCATCTAGCCCATATTGGTGCATTCAGAGTACTGTATAAATTTTGAGTAGTATGTCTGTGAGCTTGGGTTTATTGGGCCTATTTTTTAATAATTCATGTAGCTTTCAAATATGCATTTTAGAACATAAAACATATGTCACACTACAATAAAATGTCTTAAAACTACTATAATTTACCTGGCTTTCTAGCAAACTTATAAGTAGGTCAAAAAATTTCAGTACTGTTTAGAGCAATGTATTTAGTCTAAACATATCAATCTCTCTTGGCAAAATATTAGCTTTTACCAATAAACCAACACAGAAAATTGTATGTTTTATGTAGTTTAGAATTTTATTCTTTCTATTTGTTATAAACATGTCCAATACCAATATCAAAGAGAATTATTAACATTTCTTAAAGACAAGATATTGGAGGGGTGTGTCAATATGAGTCGAGCAAATATAGGGATTTCTCAGTAAAACAAAAACGTGAAAGGTTGAAATTTTATATTCTGACTTATCAATATCTATAGTATATGTTTCTAATTGCTTGGACAGTTTGAAGCCCTTGAAACCACAGAGAAAAAAAATTATAAATGAGAAGTCAAAGTGACCCTGCATCATGTGACTCAGAGATGCAGATTAAGAATTTATTTAAATATTTGTTTTTGAAATTAAGAAATTAAAACTTGAATAATATATAAATGTGAATTATAAGCTATGTTTTGGTGCCAAATTTATTAACTTACATTGGTAATAAAGTAGGTTTGTTAGATTTTGAATGTAACTCTGTAAAAAAAGGTGATGACATGCGCACTTTGACTCCCACCCTGTATGGTTAGGGTTAACACATTGTTCATATTAACACACTTTTTATGTATAAATGCACAAATTTTAACATCGGGGACAGAGAAAATTAGTTTTAATGAGTCCCAGGGATTTAAACTAAAACCAGCTTCATATTGCTCCTGTTCATCATTATATAGTAAGTTTTCAATAACTTTGAGATCCTTAATCTCCATTTTGCTTCAGTTTAATGCTATAATGTCCATACTGTTTCCTGTTGTATTCTGGGTGGAAATGTTCTGTTCTGTATAATTTACACTAAAGCAATTTGATTTGAATGTGGCACCATCTATCTTTAAAGTCATGTACTATTCCATGAGGTGGACCTCTTGGCAATAAAAAGAAGGAACTCATGGGCAAACC